AATATCAGTCCATCTTTTAGTTTTTAGCAGTAGATGTTTACTGAAAACAGTCAGCTGCAGTTAGATCAGGTTGATCAGGGCTGGTTTGGATGTTGTACAGAAACGGAGCTGTTCTACTGCAGTGCCAAAAACAATGAAATGAAACTTGATTACACTTTTTTCCCCCAAGTATTTTAGGGATGACTACACGGAATGGCAGAAGCTACCTTATTTCATCTTTCAGGATACCAGTACTACTTTTCCTGGCTATACAACTCTACAGAAAAAAGGAATGCCATTTTTCACTAAAGTAAGAAATTTAAACATTTACAAAAATGAAAAATTTGAACCACAAGTGAATTTGAACACAAGCTGCCCACTCTGTTTTTCATTAACCTGAAGGCAACTAAAAAATTTCTGCTCCCACTTCTCTACCTTCTTGAGATGAAAACACTGACTTTTTTTTTATAGGATGCCGCTAACATCTGGACAGATGTTGTATTATGGGCGCATTTAAAAACAATTCCTTCAAGATTATCTTTCCAAAGCATTTCTGAATTAGAAGTTACTTGATACAAAACCATCAAAACAGACTCTTCAAATTATGGTTCACTCTCACTACGTAATACACTACTTAGGTTCCAGACAAACATTCTCACAAATGAAACAAAGACTTTTTTTTCTTTAAAGATAAACTAATTGGACTATTGGTTTACCTGCGGTTCCTATCCCAAAGCTTCTTGGCTGAGAATGGGTTTAATGATTACCTGTGATAACCTCTGTACTTAAGCTGCTGCCGCTGCTTCTGCGAGTTCTGGTTTCAGACATGGCCATGCCTTGCTGTCTGTCTAGCTGGCAAATCCAACCGCAGAAATAAACACACACACTACTCAAAGACTCCTGCACCTGATTAACAACAAAAAAATAAACAAGGTAAGTGAAACTATGAATTGCTACAAGATGATGATTAAAATATTCTAAATGTGTTACTTTAAAGAGAAGTTGGGCACAAAGTTCTAAAATAATTCAGCGATCCAAGCCCTGCACTCCTTATGTGGGCAATTTTTTATTCTAAGTTTAATCTTAAACGTTAGACTCATGATGATTTCTTCTAAAAATCTTTAATTCAAACCAGAAACTGAATGTCTGTATAGCCCCAAATGTGTCTGAAGATCAGCATTAGATTGCTGTTGTCTCAGTTTAAAATGCTGCAGTTTTTGTAGCAGAGAATTACTGGATACTGGCTAAGTTACATAAACATGACGCATTCCTGAATTTCTGTCTGTGTAACTGCTAAATGATCTTCAACATTCTGATTCTAGTAATTACGGCTGTAGGCTCTGAAGAGAGATGAGACTTTCGACTGAATTAACTTTTTAGAATCGGGACCTAATCTGTTCAGTTTCCTTCACTACCGCAGGTTGCATTTTATTCCAATACTAGGGGAAACAAGCAAAAGCCTCCCCTCCTCAAAAAAAATATCACAAGTCTAAGTTTAAATTTGAAAACAAACTGTTTACATTCTAATTCTAAACAGAACAAAACGTTCAGTAGAAGACATTCACCCTGAGTCAACATGGGGAAGACTGGTGACTCTGAGGCAAAGAGCTGCTAATTAGCCAATTACAGCAGACAACACTTGCTTTAGCAGATACTTGCATCTCCAAGGAATTGAGACAAGGCCTAATTTAACGAAGATCAGAAAGAAGCTCTCCTAGATAAGAGAACAGACTAGCTTTTGGGAGAAAGATTAAATCTGTCTCGGACCTCAGGAGGAATTCCAAGGAGGGACTAGCTATAAAGCCTAGACTGCTCCAGTAAGGACACCCTCTCAGCCGACTGTACCCCGAGACAGAAGACACGCAGACACTCCCTGCCCGGCGGGCATGAGGACAACCCGCAGCCGGAGGAGGTGAAGTAGCCGTAACCCCTCTTGGACTTCTCTCCGAGTAGGTAGTTAGAGAGCAGTCCTCTCCCTGCGAGCAGGAGCACCTACCCCGCTTTGGACTCGCACCAGCCCAACCCAAGCGCACCATCTACTAGATCATTTTGATAATTCTGCTTTCATCTCCTTAAGGATTACAACAAGTAAACCAAATGGGTGAAGAAAGCTTGCGGAAAAGAAAAGGAAAGGACCACGAAACGGAGGGCGGACAAGCCGTTCGGAGCCATGAACCTCAGCCGACGAGCCTACAGAAGCAGGCAAACCCCTTTTCTTTTCCCGCTTCAGTCCGTGTGTGCCAGGGGCTGGCAGAGGAGGGGGGTGGCGGGGTACCCGTGCACAGGCAGCATCCAACAACCACCCCAACTTCACCCAACTTGCCCGTCATGTGCCAGCATCTTGGCGGCGTGCTTGGTTTACACTTTAGGAAACTGCTAATTACTAGTTAAATAGCTCGATGTATGCACAGCTTAAGAATGCCTGTTTTTTAAGGCTTTGCATTAATTTTCTGATCAAGTGAGCCCCTTCATAAACTACGCTTCCTTCCACCTGTACTTCTCACAGGCTGAAGTGGTTCGTCCAGCTCGTTGCTTCTGCAAGTCTGTTAGTGTTTCTAGGTTAAAATAGTCACCGGTACACGAAGGAGAGTGAAAATTTGTTTCCCCCAGAACAATATAGATGCTTTAGAAAACAGACGGTGCCACTTACTCTCAGGAGGGAGTAGAAATCTTCTTTAACTAACTTGTAAAGAAGATTCTCTTTGGTGCCAAGACTGAAAGATCTTGAGGCTGTTAGACTAGCCATTAAAGGAAAAATTTAAATAATCCATGCCACTGGATTTTTTTTTTAGCAGGAGATGCCTCAAGTTTTAGTCGTTTCATGTAATATGGAGATAACAAAAAAGTAAAAACAATCTTTTTACCACCTAGAAATATCAAGGTAATTCCTGTACACTAATACCTGATCCAAGGAGAAGAAAACAACTGCTGAAAGACAAGACCCATCCAAGAAAGCAAATTTTTGAAGCCTAGAAAATTCAGAATTCCTTAAGTGCTCATAAAAGTATTACAGTATTTAATCAGAGTGGAAAGGGCACATTCACCTGTACAAGTTAGATCTGAAACCCACATAATGCAAAAGATGGTTTAGTAAAGTGAATATAGTCTGAGCTCAAATAACTGTACTGCTGGAACCAACAGGAGTACTTGACAAGGTGGGTATTTTGGCAAGAAAAGAGAAACTTCAGAGTTTAATGTATTACTTGCTAGAAGCTGTTATGTTTAAGTCAGCAATGACAACTACTTGCATTTTATTACACAAAAAAATATAATTATCGAATTATTAGAAATTATTTTACCAGAATATCTCATTTTATTTCAAGGTGGGCCTCATCAGTGGAATCTGTATGATTGTTGGTACAATTATTGGCTCAGGTATCTTTGTTTCTCCAAAATCAGTACTTGCCAATGTTGGAGCTGTGGGTCCTTGTTTAACCATCTGGGCAGCCTGTGGAATTCTCGCAACGTTAGGTAAACAGGTCAACAAAATCTGAACCTTTGCTTAAATCTTCCTATGTACTTTTTCTGCACGTTACTCATTTCACAGATTAGCTCATAGCACCTAGACCAAAATCAATCATATCCTGATGAGTGTAGCAGTAGTCGAGGAAAAATTTAAAATGTTTCTAGTCCACTAACTGCAATAGAGGATATTGCTACTTAAATCCCAAGTAAAATAGGAAATACTGGCAGGGAGCTAGGTACTTCTGCTATTTTTCTACTTGTGTAATTATTCAAATCTAACTCTATTGTCTGAAAATTTAGCACTAAGCACCTCAAAATATTTCAGGAAGTAAACCAAAACTGAATTCTTTGGATGTTGCATCAGATACACAGTATACAAAAAATACCTTTAAGCAGTAAGTATCACAGTACTCTAAAGCAAAGTACTTTAAAGCTGAGTTTAGCAGACATTTTACTTAAAAAAATTGTGCAAGTCTATTTTTTTCAAGTTTGCAAAAGATAGCAACTGCAGTTGTCACTTAGATGCTGCTTCTGGTGTTGGTTTCTTAAGCAGAAATCTAATATGAAATCAGTATGTTTGTACTTTTTTTTGCTGAAGTCAGAGATCTGAAGTAAATTCTGGGCTAACTTAATAGTATGTTCTTTCTAGCTGCTCACAAGTAATGGAAGTTTTATTTTGCACTGTATATATCAATTTCCATAACTTTTCTACCTATTAAAAAGCGTTAATCTGTTCTAGCCAGTCATAGCTTAAGAAGTGCATCAAATAAACCAGTAATAAATGCCTTTCTTTTTATTCAGGTGCACTTTGTTTTGCTGAGCTTGGCACAATGATCACAAAATCCGGGGGAGAATATCCTTACCTGATGGAGGCATTTGGCCCAATTCCAGCATTTTTGTTTTCTTGGACAAGCTTACTGGTCACAAAGCCCAGTTCATTTGCAATCATTTGTCTCAGCTTTGCAGAATATGCATCAGCTCCTTTTTACCCAGGCTGTGATCCACCCCAAGTTGTCATCAAGTGTCTTGCAGCAGCTGCCATTGGTGAGTTCTAAAGAAAGAGACAAGATGTGTAATAATTGCAGCGCGGTTCCGTTTGGCCCCATCCAGGAATGCGTTTCAGCACAGTGAGGCTTCAGCAGGTTCACCCTCATGAACCCACCAGGAAGGTCCCCTACACTGAAAGCAACAGAAAGCTTTGGAATGCAGTACAGCAAGTCCTTCCCACGGCTAATCCAGCAACACATGAAAAGGACAGGTTTCCAAACGGCACGTTCCTAGTCTGTTTCTTTTATTAAGATAGATACAGCCCTGTGAAGAATGCTTGCCTCCAGCAGAAAAGCAAGAAAAATTAAGTGTACAGGTATTAGTCCTGTATTTATCAGAATGCTGTGCAACTTCAATATAGTTTTTTTTCCTGTTAAAGGTACTATCAACATCTAATTCATGAAACCTTTTCCTATTTTAAAAGTTATCCACAGTACGTTAAAAGCTATATTATTAAGACAAACAGCAGGAGGAAAAAGCACTACTGTAAATAAGGAGGGGGGGAAGGAAAGGTTTTAAGATGCAATTTTTCTTTAAATTCTGACAAATGTAATGCAAAATTTTGCTAATTTCTTTTAGTGGTAATTACAATAGTGAACTCACTGAGTGTGAAGCTGGGAAGCTATCTCCAGAATTTTCTCACAGCTGCTAAAATGATCATTGTCACAATCATTATTGTAAGTGGAATTGTTCTCCTTGCACAAGGTAATTAAATATACTTTACTTGCAAAAAATAGTTTAACTTCTGCTATGAGAATTAAAAAATTTCTACTGACAGAAGTGGCACAACAATAAGGCTCTCTTTATTCAGTGTTGTAGTTGCTGGGCTCTATGGTATTTCCATTTAGAAAAGGGGTAGGAGTGGGAAATGAAATTACAGATCAATTAATAAAAACTGGTGTTAACTGATCTTAACAGTGAACTGTTACAAAGCATGAAACATGCTGGAATGTTTCTTCATCTGGTAGGGATTAAGGCAATTCATTTCAATGGGATACAGGAATCTACATTTTATTTGCAGGAAAAACAGAAAACTTTGAAGATTCTTTCAAGGACAGTAAAATTTCTGTTAGTTCCATCAGTCTGGCATTTTATAATGGACTCTGGGCATACGATGGATGGTAAGGTATCTTTACTAGCATTGATGGTTACACTTTAATGGCCTTTATCTGGTTTATTCTCTCTCACTAGAACTCAAAGATGTGATCTGAAAATTAACATTCACTTGTTAGGAAGAATCTCTTAACGAATTCTTGAAAAAGCTAATATTTGCATAAGAAGCTCACTTTTTGCTCTTGTAAGTAGTTTTACCACTGTAAAAATTGGTTGTACTTTTTTGTTTTAACTGAAAAGATAAAAACTAATAAGAAACAACACCTGACTTCATAATATATTAGTATTTCAACACCTGATTGCTAATAACATTGCATGAATGTTTTTCCTTCTAGGAATCAACTCAACTACATCACAGAAGAACTTAAAAATCCTTACAGGTAAAACTATGTAGGAAAGCAGTGTTTCTAATGGCAAAATTCAAGCTTTCAATATTTTTTTGTACAAGCAGGTATATATTTGGGTTTGTTTTTAAAAACGATGGTTATTCAAGGTTTGAGCACTAAGAGACAAGCTAATTAGCATATAGTACAGGCTTTGCAAATTTGCATAAATCTGTTTTCCATTTTTTAACCTCCGATTTCCACGGCTCTACAGTAAAAATGTAAATATACTTAAAGAGCATATGGGGAAAAGTAAGAATCCACAGTTTACTATGACAGCTCTGCCAGTGATAAAGCAATGCTGATGGAGTCTTACTTTTGCATTCTTTTAGGAATCTACCGCTATCGATAATTATTGGAATCCCCCTGGTTACAGTTTGTTATGTTCTGATAAACATTTCATATTTCACCGTCATGACTTCAACAGAACTCCTGCAGTCCCAGGCAGTTGCTGTGGTAAGCCACTTTATTTTGTAATAGAGCATCTGAAGAAGGCTTGAGCAAAAGGAACTTATAATTTTGCTTAAGACAATATCTGTCTAAGCTGTCAGTGTCACCTTTTCCCCCAATATCTACTGTCATTTCTTAATCTAAAATTTATTTCAGTAACACTTTAACAGTCATTCTGTCATATCCCAAGGGGGGAGGGGGGGAAAGGAAGCAGAATTAATGCAGTGTTCAGCTAACATTTTGTAAACACTGCAGCCCGGAGGCTTACTGCTTTCCAAAAGCAGCAAAAAGATGGAAGGAAAAATAACATCTGATCACTGCTTTGCCCTTTTTGGTGTTTCCAGTATTTCTGAGAAACAAGCACAAGCAAAATGACTAGACCAAATTTTGTCATTCTGGAGGTAACAGCAAGTGTTCAATAATTCACTTCCTCCTTATTCTTGCCTTTTTTTTTTCCTTAAGAAAACTACGAAATATCCTTCACATTATTGCAGGACATACTATTGGAGATAAAATTAACGATTACGTAAATATCTAAAGTCTTAAACACATCTGTCCCTTCAGTAAAGGAACTGTAATTTTCAGTGGGACATCTGTCCTTGAAACAACTGTTGAGAGGTTATATAGCAGTTTTCCCCTAGTGTTAGATTCTGGGGAAACTAAACAGCATGTAACACGTATGCAAAATGAAGTGAAGAAGTACACTAATGTAGAAATACGTAAAAATATGAAAAAAAATCTTTTAAAATGTAGAACTTCAGTCCATTTCAGTATCTTGTTTGCATCAAGAGGTACAGCAATGCATATATCAAGCTCTATCTTGTTTAAGAATTAGTTCTCTTCAATTTACAACTAAGTTTACCATCTGAACAGCACTGAACTCATTAGTCTAAGTTAACACAATCTCAGAACTGACACTGAGCACACAAAGGCAGCACAGCAAACAGAAAAAAAAGCAGTACGTTGTATAGAGAGGTCTAAACATCTGTAAGGAGACTTCTTGAGTAGCACTGCTCAGTGTCCTAGTGGACAAAGAAACAACACTGTTACACTGGTGCAAAACCACAACATACTTCGCTTGTTAAACCCAAAAGTTAACCCCTCCCAAACTAAAAACCCAAAACCTGTCAACAAATTTTGAATTCAAGTTCTTTTACAGTAGGTCAATGTACCTACATTGGATCTCATCCATCCTTTGGCACAAGTGAAAACAGAAGTGTAGTGACAGACCCTGGCAAGTCTGTCCTGCACCCCTTCACCCCTGAGGCTTAGATACCCATTTTCTGTAAAAAGAGGCTCCAACATTAACTGCTGTTTGGTACATTCAGTAATGTGACAGAAATGATTCATTTTAATCCCATATTCCAGACATTTGGAGATAGAGTCCTTTATCCAGCCTCCTGGATAGTTCCTCTCTTTGTGGCCTTTTCTACAATTGGATCTGCTAATGGGACCTGTTTTACTGCAGGCAGGTAAGTGCCCATTCTAAACATCTTAAAATGAAAAGTTCTGAAGGATGGAAAAATTTACATATACATTTATGTATCTACATACATAAAGACAGACATTGTTCTGATCCAAATGTTCAAGAAGTAATTTAGAAGTACTTGCAGATCTAGCTGTGTTGCTTGACTTTCAAAATGAAACAGTGGCTATGCAGGTTTGAAAAACTAGAAACATAAAGTCTCTTATTCAAAGCAGATACAGCACAAGATTTTTGTCACCTCTCATCAAATTTAAAGCTAAGAATTAAACCTTTAAAAAAGAAGCAGTAAGAATACAACTATACCAGTAATTATAAGAACTGGAAAAATCTATTCTCCTCTGTCAGCTGTTCAACACTTCGTTTAGTACTTAATTTTTTACGTTTCAAAGACATCTGCGTCTGATAGGGCTATAAAGGCCATTTTTTTTTTTAACAAAAGCATAGCTTTTTCCTTTTAATGTGCTCACACTTCGTTTAGTACTTAATTTTTTACATTTCAAAGACATCTGTGTCTGATAGGGCTATACAGGCATATTTTTTTTAACAAAAGGTTGTCAGCATAGCTTTTTCCTTTTAAAGTGCTTCATATTAAATATTTCAAGGGACACAGT